GGGCGTGTTTTACGGCGCTCGCAACTGCGTAAGGTCACATTGTCCCGCGGAACACATTAAGCATTTTTCAGTTTGTAGAAAACTTTGAATTTTGCCCGGGTTGCGGCCGAAGCCTACTCTTATCGATTTTGGTCCACCTAGGGATCTTTAACGTGCGCAACTTGCACTCGGGACCTGCGACATTTTTCACCCTTGTCCGAAAAGGTTAGTTGTAGATCTTTCCTACCATAAGATCAGGGGCGGGGCTAAAAGACAGCAGTAAGAAGGAGCCAATGAGTAGCACATGTAGTAGAAAGGCTGCAGAAAGAGTGTGGAGCCCAGAGGAGGGGGGGGGCAAAGGAGGTGAGAGGGTGTGCAGACATGAAATTGTGGGTGGTTGGCGGGTGCTCTGGTGTGGTTTGCATCTTATTTCCTGTCAAACATCTATCGTCTTTATCTCCCCTCCTTCTTTTTTTTTATTTGTTACTCTCTTGTAAACACCTCTAATCTTCTGGCACTCATAATTATGACCGTAAAACCTCTACTAAAACAAGGCATGAGGTTCCGTGTTCAAGTTGTGAAACGTTAAAGATCCTTTGGAGGTCTAAAATCGATAGGAGTAGCTTCGGCTAAAGGTGGGCAAAATCCGGATAAATATCCGGATAATTGGATAATCCTAAATAAGACATCATCAGAGTTCAGACTCTTTAACTCTTTTTCCTGACCTGTTTGCCGAAGTGGGTCCACCCATTTGTTGAAGTGATACTAACCCGTTTGTCAAAGTGGTTCTAACCCATTTGCCGAACCGGTTCATAACATATTATTTACCGAAGAGGTGCACTAACATATTATTTTTATTATCCGGATTTTGCTACAGTGACTCATGCATTGCCCAGCCCTAGCTTCGGCCACAACCAGGCTCTGTCCATCTCCCAGCTCTATGGGGTCGACTCAGGGCACGGTCGACTCGTGCCTCAGGGCTAGCGGAGAGTGACGAAGACATCCGGGCAACTCACGGAAACTTCCGGACTTACGCGTGCCTCCTCTCCTAGGCCGAGCCTAGTTTGGGCAACAACAACTACAAAAAGCGGATCTGTGTGTGTGTGTGTGTGTGTGTGTGTGTGTGTGTGTGTGTGTGTGTGTGTGTGTGTGTGTGTGTGTGTGTGTGTGT